ATCAAGAAAGATAATACTTGATTATTACAATAAGGTGGTACAGACATTAAAAACCTAGCCGCAAATACAGTACCGTACTCTTCTTCTCCTTATAAGGGTTCTTCTCTCCTTATGAGGGTTACTTGTTTGTTTGTTTTATTAGTCTTTCCACACACAACATAAAAAGTAATATAAATTCAAACTTAACTAATATTACAAAAGTAGAAAAAAAAAATCATATATACTGTAAATTAGATATCAAATCTAAGGAATTCCAAAGTTTAGGTCCATTATAAAGAATAGATTTTTTAAATAAGAGAAGATATATATTTTTCAGATAAGACAATAGCAGCTTGGGCGCAAAATACTGGATATGTTAAAAATAACCATTTAATGGCCTTTCACCCTAAATACCATAAATACCCTACCTTATGCCAATGCATAGGCCTATGTACCATGTTATTTGTGACAGAAGAATTATTTTATTCATTTTTTTTTTTTTTTTTTTACAATTTGGAAGTAATCAGCAAGAAAATGTGCTAATTTTGCCAAAAAACAACAAACAAACAAACAAACAAAAAACCACATGTAGGATAACAAATTCGAGTCCTAATGTAGCGGATGCTGGTCCGGTTGGTGGTAGCTACAACATGTGTGAAAATCATAATTGTACTTGAAATACCTTTCGGAGATAATTTGGTGGACAGAGAAAAACACAAAACGTTATTTTCGTAGTATAGATTGAAGACCTTGCAATCTAGCTAGAACATCGTGGTAACATTATATGATTTGATTGCTCTAAATTCAACATTCCACTTAGGCCTCAAGCACAATCTCAACATAAAGTAATTCAAGTTTCAATCAATATTCAACTTAAACGCAATTCGGAGGTATTCGTATGATGATAAAACGACTTGCCATACGAGTGACATCTCATGTTGCGTGATAGTTTAACATACATACGTTGCTATAACTGTACGCACAATACCACCACATTCGGTAATTGTACATTGCCTCTTAACCGTGTCAGTTACATTATAAGCATACATGGGGGAGGCGTGTACTTATTTTTTTTTTAAGATCATAAAAAAGATCGGGTAGTAAACTTTAGTTGTCTGGGGACATGTTCTGGTTTCAGACCCTGTTTTTTTGTCAATTACGTTGGATTTAAGTAATAATAATTTATATTTAATACATTTCTTATGAATAACAGGACTACAATTGAACTCTCCTTAAAGACACCCTTATTAAAAGAAGGGTAAGGGGACACCATTTCTTGGCCGCGATTTGGGGGAAATTTTATCTTTTAACACTATGGATAGCCTTATTCAGGGGACACCCCTACTCTATTAAGAAACACTTGTTTTTTTATCGTACTCGTACGATGATGACGATGATCGAAACAGTATAGGGTTTGCTGGATTCCGTTCTTTCCAGTCGTTTTTATTGTATCACTGTAGGTAATAGTTTAATTATAGTTTATTATACTACAGAATTTTAGTTTAAGAAAGCAAAAAGGAAGAATAGAAAAGAAATTTCGAACTCTTTGACGTTTTTTTCCGAAAGTTTAATAGCGAAATATGTAAGATAAATTCTATTTACAATAGCAATTCAATTCAATTATTCACATAATACATCGTATGATAATGCAAAAAAAAAAAAAAAAAAAAAAAAAAAACCCATTAGGCCTATTGTTGTCTTTTTTTTTTTTTTTTTGTTCTTATTTTTTTGTTATAAACGTAGAGCAGTAATTATCAGAAATCAAAAGGTACAAGCTTATCACGTTTCGTAAATCGCCATTGAATCTTAAATTTTAATGAATTACGCTTATCGTCGTTATTAAAAATGTTTAGTCCTGGTCTGGTCTGGTTGAAGATTATATTTTCAATTTGGTCTGCATATCTTTAAGAAATATAAAATGTTGAGTCTACTACTAGCCTACCAGGTGTGACTCAACAATCAAAGAAGATACCTGGAACTCATTAAGGTTCATACAACATGCGTCAGCGGTCCTCAAACTCATTAAATGTCGGTTTTCTGTGTGTTCTATCAAACCATAGATACCATCTATCAAACCATAGATACCATGCACTGAAGTTTTTCGAAATATATAAATTTCGAACTTGGTCGCAACATGTCAGTCATGAACATTGTTCCATATTATTGAGGATGTCAGCTGATATGCTTCCGGGTCACTTGAGGTGAGCGGTTGCACTCCCACACCATCGCACACCTCTCCTCCTGGTTGAAGATTATATTTTCAATTTGGTCTGCATATCTTTAAAAAATATAAAATGTTGAGTCTACTACTAGCCTACCAGGTGTGGCTCAACAATCAAAGAAGATACCTGGAACTCATTAAGGTTCATACAACATGCGTCAGCGGTCCTCAAACTCATTAAATGTCGGTTTTCTGTGTGTTCTATCAAACCATAGATACCATGCACTGAAGTTTTTCGAAATAAATAAATTTCGAACTTGGTCGCAACATGTCAGTCATGAACATTGTTCCATATTATTGAGGATGTCAGCTGATATGCTTCCGGGTCACTTGAGGTGAGCGGTTGCACTCCCACACCATCGCACACCTCTCCTCTTCAGGAGTGTGAAATACTTGCGTTTAAAAATGATACACTTTCAAAAAAATCCATCTAATGTAGCTATGTTTTCGTGTTGCTATAAAATAAATTACCTACCCTAAAATAATTACTTACCCCAACAAATTAAGCTACGACAAGATAGAGGGTGCTTAAAGTTTCACCCTTTTTGGTTCAATTCAAGCGTGAAAAAAATAATAGTCAAACAATTTCCTTCAGCCCTGGTAGGATGGATGAGATGGATGGATGGAAGAATGGGAGGATGGAAGAGTGAATGGATAGATGGATGATCATGATGAATGTATAAATGAATGAATGATATATTGAATGAATGAATGAACAAATGAATAAACCAAGGAACGAACGAACAAACAAACAAAACTAAATAAATGGATGAATGAACGGATGGATGAATTGACAAGTGGATGAATGGATGAATGGATTGAAAGGCGATCGAATAAGTGAATGCATGGCTGGGTGGATGAATGAATATTAATATAATTTAAAGCTGACATTCGATTAAGTACGCTGACACTTGATTGCCTATAGTAATCTAGTCGTAAATCAATTCATTGCAAGTATTATCAATCATCTAAAGATACGATTTGAAGCTTAACGACGGATAACAGATATCATTTTTACCATAACAATTGAGACAATTCAATATAGTAATAACTTTACATAACTATCAAAAAATTTAACAATTATAACGTTCTAAATTGAGGAAAAACAAGACCTTAAAATATTAATAATAATAATAATAATAATAATAATAATAGAAACAAAATTAATACCATAACAATATTGTAATGATAATAGTATTTAATGATAACAATAATAATAATAATAATAATAATATAAATCATCAAAGGTACATATACAGTGTTTAAATAAGGACATGATGGAACATCGCAGGCTACCCTGTATATGTACCTTTGATGATTTATATTATATTTATTCAACAGTGTTAACGGCTAACTCCCTTCAATAGTAATAATGTTAATAATACGTTGGTATCATAATTGTTTCAATCTCTATTATATCATTAATAATACAGATCAATATATTATATATAAAAATATATAATATATATATTATATAATATATATATATATATATATATATATATACATGGACAATATGCTTCTGCATGTATTAGAAATTGTCGCGCGAGAAATATATCAAGTTTTAAATTTTAATTCTGAAAGACAAGACCATGCTACAGGCAATATATTCAATCATAAAAATTACAACCGCCATCGAATATTTCAGCTTGATGAGGATGGAAGTACTCGGAAGTTCTAATTCACATTTATTCATATCAAGAGGAGAGGAATTGTTTTTTTATTTATTGAGCGAAGGCTCCACTGTGGAGCTCTTGATTGGTGGTTGGTGATTGTATTGAGACAAGCATTTTGTGTATATGTTCGTCTTGTGAAAGTGTATTGTGAGTAGGACGTATTGTGAGTAGGACGTTCATGTGCTTTAAAAATATAAAACGAATAAATAATGGCAAAAAATTGAAAGGAAGATTGGCCTGAAGGCAAAGAAGAATAAAAGAGAAGACATGATAACGATGGCCCGAAGGGAGGCTGTTATGACAACGTAATAATTAAACACGTTATAAGAATACTGATCATTACGTGACGTGATCAAGTCATATAATACAATATACGGTAATATAATATATATATACAATATACGGTAATATAATATATATATATATATATATATATATATATATATAAATGAATATAAAGTTGTCAGTTCAGGCAACGTATAGTACTCGATGCTATGCAGAGCGGTATAATAATAATAATAATAAGATGTCCACATGCCAATCAAATCAACAGTAAATATCTTGGTCAGTGACAAATAGCAAGCTTCCTACATCTAATAAATTCCGCTAAGCAGAGTGATAGTTTTTTTGCTTCTAACCAGTTTGGAAGACCCAATTATCCCATCCTAGAGCTGTGTTAAAAGGTGATGGACTGACGCAATTAGGCGTACCTTCATCTATTTTATATTAGCAAAAAAACAGTTGGAAACATGCAGGAACACGTCAGCAATTAATTAAAGTTAAAGATATTTCAAGTTAAATATTTCCGACTATACCGGTACAACTACTCCTTCAAATAAAATAGGGCAAATTTATTGTTAAGAAAATTAGAAGCATACAAAAAACACAAAATGATTACTACGGTAATTTACTATAAAGGCCGAATGTACAGTTAATAACGTCAAAATTGGCATTTATAATAATCTTCCATGAAATAACCAATAGGGTTAGATATGAGAAACTATATTATATATTGCAGTGGACTTGTTGTCCTAAATACAAAATGGAATCATTAAAAAAGTAACAATATATATTGTTTAATTATTAAAGCATACGCTATCCATCATAGTCATTATCTGCCATTTAATGATGTGTTGATTTATCTATTCTATAGTAATAAAGGCGCTGCGGTGTGTCGATTAAGAAATACGGATAAGAAATGAGAGAATTTTTAAAGTTAATGGGATGGGCTTTCAGGTAAAAAATCATGAATACTATATATCTTACGATTGGCCTGTCTTACATGCATAACGCGTGAACAACTTAAATTGTTTTATTTCATTGTACGTTCCTACAAACGGTAGACATCATTCACAATATAACCACAGGGGAAGACCGATCATTTAGCCTATATTGTGTAAATGACGTCTTCCATTGTATTTTATAAGGGGTTCTGCGGGATGTTGGAGTACACGTGTATTAACTGCTATGTTATAAACGTTTATCAGTTGTTTTTTTATCAGCAATTTTATGATCAAACTGATTACGTTGTTAAAGTATAAGTAGCAGTAAGTCAACACTTAGGGACATTCATTACCGACCGGGCTAGTTTGCTGTGCTGTGCTAAATAGTCAGAGGCTCTCGAAGGTAAATATTAACATGCTCCAAATTGTCATTTGGAACATTTTTCAGTCTGAAGCGATAAGCTTCGACTTCAACATCACACATATTCGACATATGTATTAAATAGTTTAAATTAACAACTTGTATTTCTCCCTCTTCAGCTTAGAGAAGACCTTACGACGGACGAACTACAATGAATACAACTGAGCCCCCATCACGGGCTTTTACAACGACTGTCGCAGCTATCATCATTTTATTTTGTATCGTTGGTCTATTAGGAAATATATTGGTCATTCTGGCGATTTTTAATAAGAAGCGTCTTCGAACTTTACCCAACTCGTTCATTGCCAGCATGAGTCTCGCGGATATTGTGTACATCACTTGCGGGGCAGCTCCGGGAGCCGGTGCTTTTATGAACCGGGGCTGGAGCAGCGAACACATTTGTGCGATAAATCAGTACGTTATATTAGGGTTTTGTTTTATATCGTTACTACACATGGTATGCATAGCCGTCAGCAGGTTCATCCACGTTGTACATTATACGTCAGCTGCCCATACTTTGAACCGACGTAACGTACTTTTAGCTCTTCTCATAACGTGGACGCTGTTGCCTGTATTTTTAATACCGTACCATTTCATCGTCGCTGGCGGCCCTTTTTATTTACAAAAAGCATTTCGTTGTGTCACTCTGTCCGATAATTCTCAAGTAGGTATCACTGCTTTCCTGTATTTAGTTTGCTTTGTTTTGCCCAGTGTTATCGTTGTAGTATGTTACGTTAAAATAAGAACGTTTGTTAAGAAAAAGAAACAGCAATTATCATTGCATTTACGGAAGAGTGAGAATAAAAAGAAAGAACAAACAATAGAACCAACTTTCAAAGTGGAGAATTGTCAAAATGAAAAAGGAGCCGCAGACGAGCATAGTCCCTCTGTTGCTAGCGACGCACAAGACGCGAAAACAGCATTCTCAATATCAAATGGAACGGGTATTCGACCTACACCACCATTTCCCGAAACAGTGGCTTGCTCGACATATGATGAAACCGTCGAAAAAAGTTTGACAAACGAGGTGGACGCACATTCCACCAAAGACCATCCGTACATTCCCAGTCAAAAAACAATTGACATCTTGGACGATAATGACATAAGTGATACGAAACCGTATAACGACATTCAAAATAGTGAGAATGATGGTGCTCATACGTCAATGAGTCAGTACGCAGGTAACGATGGTAACCTACATAGCAACGTTACTGCCGATACGTCAATGAAACAAGTCAGTAAAGAGGGGTGCCAAATTTCAACAAATGTTGGCAATAATTGTGTAACTTTCACGGAAATTTCAAACATAAAACGCAGCGTAAACGAAAACGCCGCTAAAAGTGATCAAGCACAAGAAAGAAGCAATCGATTACGCATCAGCCAATGCGGATTAAAGGCAAAATCGTCGCGATCTATCAGGATACGAAGAATACGACTGATACGGCGGAACCCCCACTTCAGATCGATAAGTGACGAAGAATTGCAGCTCAATAGAATGATGGCCGTTGTATTCGTCATCATCTGGATTGGCTACATTCCATATCCGCTTGTGCGTTTCTTGGATAAAAATGACACCACGATTAGCGGGACTGTTTATATCGCCACAACCCTGTTGCTGTACGTAGCGGGCTGTTTGAACCCCATTGTATACGGCGTAATGCATAAACGCTTTCGTGCCGCGTTCATTGAGATGCTTACGTTCAAGTTGATCAGTCTTAGTAAGATAGGTATTGTGCTAAACGACGGCACCAACTCCGATACCATCGACCAAAACGGAAGCGCTGATTTAAACATGCAAATTCGCTCGGAATGTCCGTAGTATTATAGCCGAATTCGTTTTAGCGGCGAAAGTAAATAATATAGTAGTATTTGGACAAGTACTGTAAATGACCAAAATGAATTTACAGCTTTTCTGAATTTGTATATTACTTTTAATATCCGAGTAATTATCAAAATAATGTAATCGTATGTGCTGTGCGGATATACCTACATATGACGTCACTAAATGTTTTGCCTATGCCAGTATTTTCAACGAAGACATTGATTGTCGATTATGAACATATATTTTCATTCGTGTATTAATTTATTGATAGGATAAGCTATTACTGTATTTATAATGAAAACAATCAGTTGGTAAAAGTATTTACTTTACACTACCAGCTTTCACCCCAATCGATGGGGCTTCATTAGGTGTATTCACCATTACTTTTTAATGTCGATTTTATTCTTTCGTGGTTATATTTTATGGTGCTAAGCATTGAAAATTACAAAGATAGTGGTATATCATGTTTATTATAATTTAAAAAATGTTTAAATTATTATCGTTATACAATATTTTTGTAATAATTGCCATATATTGTAAGCAAGAACTAATTTTGTATATTTTAACATTTTTTAAATTAGTTTAAGTACTGAGCTTTTTAAGTAACAAATTTGTTTCGTTAACTTTTGTCAATTGTTAATGTACAATAATTGCTTTAGGCCTATGTGTTTTTAATGTTTTTATATTGAACGCACCTTGGAGATGGGATTCAATAAACTATTACAAGCCTTTTTCACAATTGCTAAAAAAAGAAGAGTAATATTATTATTATTTATTGATGTACCCATCAGCTTTTATTTCGTGTTGAATCTGCCGAGAATCCATGGCAATCAAACAAAAGCGGGTACAAGATTCTTTATTATATCTTTAACTGTTCCCTGCTTTAACGATAGGCTATGGAGGTGTCCTCCTTCAGGTCCCCTCGAAAAACCTTAATGTAATTACCCCGATTCGACCGGGTTAGGCGAAGCTCTCCTCGAAGGGGATACTACTGATACAGAAAAATTATAGTTCAAAACTAATTGCCTATACTTTTGTTAAATAATCGAAGAGATTGTTAATTGAGACATGTTCTTGTTGTATGTATCAGTTATTTTATTGGTGCTCACGTGGTATATCTCATGGTTTGATGGACTAATAAAGAACACGTTAAAAAATTAAACATTGTAATTCAGAAAGCAATAATAACCGAAGCGGCTCAGTCGCTTTGATTCAATAACTAGTTTTGGGCTATTATTAGTTAATTACGTAGAATAATATACTTTATCTTCTTCATAAAACAATAAAAGATATTGTTCATGTTCACACGCATAGAAAATGAAATATTATTTCACATTATGTATAAATAATCATCCAGAAGTCTACTATAAGAAATTGAAAGTGGAAAGGAAAAGAGAAATTTCGGATGCACAGCTTATGAAATGACATCTACTGTTAAATTCACTTTATTGCAATATAAATGCTTGCAAGGCCATTAAAACTAGAAGATAAAGTAACAGGCTTGTTAGATCTTGCGAAGGCGGTTTGGCGCAGTGAAAACGCTTTGATTTCCCAACCTCGAGGGGTTTTTCTTCTTATATATACATACATACATACATACATACATACATACATACATATATACCTGTCTCTTATACACATCTAGATGTGTATAAGAGACAGATACAGTCTAGTACGGTATCCTCCTGGCCTAATCCGATAAACGAAATTATATTCTAAATATGGTATGAATTTAAACTATTAAATTCGATGTAGTTGTTTCATTATTTTCTATTTATATATATATATATATATATATATATATATAGGCCTATGACAAAAAACCATAGCATACTTATATAGTATTAGTATAGCTTTATTATTTGTCATTAACTTTTATAGGCCTATTCATACATTTCTTGTTATTTCTATAAACCAGATTTTATGACGCAGTTTTCATCGCAACTGAATCTGATTTTGAATATACAGTATGGCATTGCTTTGAATAAACCCCTGCCTTTGGTTTGCAATATAGTAGTATAATTCAACAATAATTCGTATCACGAACCATGGCTGTTTGGTTAAATTATATTAATATAAGATGATGACATACAGACCTGATCGATATATATCTTTTATAAATTAGAATTTTAGAACAAAGAGAATAATGTATTAATTCTGAATTGAATATTTCACCAAATAATTCGATCATTAATTGATGTTTGATTACATTGATAGTATCAACGTCGGCGAAGCAGCAGACAGACAGAAGGCTTTACTCTTTTTCCAGTTGACATAAGCTCTTCAAACACCAGTTTATGAGAATCATCGATGCTACAGCCGTCGTAAATCCTCTACTCGGCGCCGACTGTTTCAATATAAATATCGCCTATTGGCCATGCCCAGAACTTCGCAAACGTATTTTACTATATTTACCATGTAATGAAATAGTAATGCTTATTTACTTATCTGCTATTTCGGGCTTATAAAATCTAGCGGTCTGTCGTGATTTGAGTTCTAACCACGGTTTACGGGTCACTTCTCACCTATAACTTACTAGGCGTACTTAACCTCAAGTGCTCGCTTCTGAAGAGCAAGATTAAATTTATTTGAATATTAAATTTTAATGAAACGTTGATGTTTTTTAAATTTAAAAAGGTAGTCACGATGGTAATACAATTTCGATAATGATCATGATTAAAGCTAATCAATGATGATTATGAAAAGTATGATTAGGATTTTGATGATAATGAACGGAATGATGACAATAATAATGATGTAATATCGATTTTGGTGATGGTGACGATCACGATGATAGAGGAGATGATGCTGATAAATATAGTTATGATGATGATGACGACGATGGTGACGATAACAACGATGATGATGATGATGATGATGATGAAGGTGGTGATCATAACGTTAGTAAATACAAAACAACAACTTTGATGCCAAAATGCATACAAACCACGAATTTATATACCACTTTTTTTTTATTTGGTACAAATAATATTTTGTTCGCAATATAAAATTACACATATCAGATAAAATGACAGCCAATATGCATTCAAAAACAAAATAACAAAGTATATAATTTGGCAGATTTGTTGCAATGGTATGTAGATTGATATTAAGGCAAAATAAAACAAAATACACAAGCATACCTCAAAATTACAGATTCTGTGTTTGTGCCTGGGAAAACGTTAATAACTTTTAATTTGGAATCAAAATAAAAGTACAAATTATATGTATATTCTATATATTGATTTTAAAATCACAATCAAATAAAGTATATATTAAAATAAAATTTAAAATTATATGAACATTTGATAAATCTGTTTACTTATTATAATAAAAAAACAGTATTAAACTAAAAAGGTCCATTCAATATATCTATTTTAAAATCATAATGAAAATTTAAAAACAAATATTCACATTCCCCAATTATACAGATATATAAAATTATATTAAAAAACCATATAAACTATGCAAGTCAAACAATACATAAAATTTACGATGTAAATCAGAAGATTTATATAATTAAGCATATTCGAAGGCAACTCACATATTTGTGATGATAGTGTAGTACTATGAACAATTGTGTATTGCTCAAGTGCAATAATAATCATTAAGAACTTTTCATTAATATTGTTGATGATACCAAGCAATGATTATAGATACACGGCGGTGAGGGCGCTATTCATTCAATCAAACAGTAGTCCTAGCTTTTTATTATTTTGTAAATCTACACCTGCCTTTAAACATTTCCAATTAAAACATTATCTGCTATTTTGACTCAAAAACCAGCCTTTTATTGTTTTATATAATTTTTTACATGATTATTTGATGTACAGTATCTTAACTACCTGATATAGATAAATAATTCTCTATATTAAAGATTGATTTTAATTGCTGAAAATTATAATGAAAGATGCAAAAATAAATATGTATTTTTAAGTTTCCATAATAATATCTATCATATTATAAAACTTAATGTATTATATTTGTGTTAGAAGTTGGTACTAAATAACTGGCAGACATTGCTGTCAATCATTGACTTATTAGAACATGGAAAACTCTTGCCTTTAACTATTTGCACCTCACCATAGAATAAAACCAAAAATATAAAAATCCAAAATTATTTAAATCCAAGAAACTAAGGTCTACAACAAGAATCTGCACAAAACACTTTTAATTACGCCAAAAAATATAATAATTTGAATTATATTAGCTTCGATCATTAGATAAAGAATAAAGTGTTGTGTGATGTCAAAAAATGCCTATAAAATCTGAAAATACAATCAGCCCAGTAGTTGGTATATACATTTTGTTCATTGGAAGAATAAGTTCTGTATTTTTCTTTTTCTGTTAGCAACATGTTATTGTAGGTAAAATATTAAAAAAACAAAACAATCTAAGCACCCACTTCTAAACCGCTATTACTGTAGCAAGGACATTTCATTACTATCGAAAGAGTACTTTAAATTCATCCGCTAAAAATATGTTCTAAATTTGCAAACCGTTATTAATCAAACGTACAAAATCATAGCTATGTTATGTTTGCATAATCAAATTGCATTAAAAACAAGATGATTTGCAGAAATTTACAAAATACTTGCATACGAATGAGAGCACTTGATATTAGCCTGTGTGCAACTTTATTTTTTCTGCTTTTCTACGACCATTAAGCAGGCGAACACCGTCATCACCATCTTTGGATTCACCTCCATGATGTCTTCCGGAAGTGCATACACACGTGCTCCAATCTTACGTGCCATGGATATGGCGTACTGCGCATTCAGTAACAGATCCTATAGAAACAAGATATCAAAATGTTTTCAAATAAATTTGGTGCTGTAAGGCCAAACAAAATCTGAGTGTTGCAACTATTTTTGTCATAGAATATGCATAATTCATCCTACCATAGTGGGCTAATCCTAAAAAATATTGGGCAGAAATTACTGGTCTGTTTATTGTTTCAACACTAGATTAGATTAGAAATCTTTCTTTATTCTGGATACTCAGTCAGTATTAGTACACTGTTCTTCCCTGAGGTCCAGGGTATGATCTTAAACTACTTTAAATTAAAAACAGAATTGATAAAGAAATATATAAGTTTTTTTAATTTTCGTGGGCTGCTAACAAAAATCACTGTCGGGCCACATGGGGCCGCATTTTGCCCACCTGTGATCCAACTGATCGGCAGTCAGTGGGTGGGGCATGGTTACATAGATGAAATATTTATAGGACCTGTCCTAAAAGACACTGATGTTGTTGCTTACCTCATCACTGCTTGCTGATTTCTTGAAGTTTGAGTAGTCGATAGAATTTGGCTTGATAGCATCAATCAAGTCCAGTACTGGACTGCTGTCACTTATTACTTTGTCTTTGAAATTCCTAATTTTTGAGGTCTTGCCAGCCTCCTCAAGCTATTGACATAAAAGTATACAAATGGATGCAAGCATTATTTAAAAGTTTAGAGTGGAGCTACATAGCATAGTTGTTAAGATGCTTGCCTTCTAATCCCAGGGTCTTGGGTTCAATTCCTATGACAGCAGTACTTGTCTCACAACTAAAAACAACTCTCTTTCTTTAATCAATTTTAAAAGAATTTCAATCACATAAAAATATTTATAAAACATTTAAGGCAGATGGGCACAGAGTCCATCAACAGCTAGCCACATACGGATACAAAAACACTAGAAAAAGTATAAAGGGAAAACAAAGAACAAATATAAGCCTATCTTTAAGGGTCAATACAAAGTCAAAATACTATTTCTGAAGGTACCCAGTGAAGTCATTTGTTTTACATGATAATAAAGGGAATTCCAAGATATCAAGAATCTGTTAAAAAAGGAAAATTTGAATATATTAATTCGAGAATGAGGAACTGAATAACTATCATGAGATGCAAAGCGAGAACAATATTGATGAGTAGTTGAGATATATATGAATCAATGTCAATTTTGATTTTACACTCCCCATCATGTTAAAGAGGTTGAGATCACTATTGTACCTTCTTCTTTCAAGTATACTTAATTTCAGTCATCTAAGACAGTCTTCATACTGTATAAAGGTCATAGTTATAATTACATATCATTCTGGTTGCTCATTTTTGAATTTTTTCAATCATGATTTTTTCTTTTATTTTATGTGGACACCAAACCTGACTGGCACAGTCAAGTTTACTCGCAACATTTGCACGATATAATACTTTTAATGTAAACTGATCGTAATTCTGAAAGTCCTATAAATAAAAGCTGACAACCTATTTCCCCACCAGCTCCACTCCCTAAACCTCATAAAGAGACTTAGTTTAAAAAGCATCGTCTATCCTGTAATTGACGAGTTACTCGCTGTTGGATATTAATGAAATAAAAAAAATAGGAGAATAATTAGATAAATATTTTCTTTAAATGTTTACAGGCTAACTTTACCTTTGAGTTGACCCATGACACAATGTCGTTGTCTGTGATCGTGTTATCAGGCCCAGCAAGCTTCTGCAGCACTGATACTGTGTACGCTCGCATCAGCTGCCAAACCATCGCTGAAAACAAATATATTTACACTTATTTTAGCCATATATTACATTCACTCAACTTGAAAAGGCCTTGCCATGCAATACCATTAAGCCGAGACATTTTTTTTAGCGAACATTCTGACTGCCAATAATTGTGATTTCGAATAAAAATAAAATTATATTTTTGGCCAGTTAGAGCCACAAAAAATTGAAATTCCAGAAAAACTTTAACAAAAAAAGTTGAGCGCCATATACGCCAATGCAAAATACATTACAAAATAAACTTTGTTAAATGTATATTTAAGAATGCTTTGATCTTTAGTTTATTCATAGCTATGTCACCTACTAGGGGTAATGTTTTGATTGGTCAAACACTTTTGGTAATTGCGCATATAAGCTTACAAATATGGATAATTTTTCATTCCTGATGATGAAATAATTAATGTCAAAATGTTGAATGCATGTAGACACTTGGAGTATGTATTACACTATCTTGTTTCTTCTGCTTCCTTATCTTTAATACTGTGGAACACTGATCAAACTATCAAACATGTGACACGCCTAAATATAGTCATGATGACATCACATCATGACTACATATAGTCATCATGTGCCTAAATATAGTCATGATGACATCACATGATGACTATATATAGTTATCATGTGCCTAAATATTGTCATGATGACATCACATGATGACTATATATAGTTATCATGTGCCTAAATATAGTCATGATGACATCACATCATGACCATATTTAGGCACATCATGACTATGGCTATGTTCTCAGGATCTGGATCCTGCTAACCGTTAGCTGCCGTGCGTCCATCCGAGTAAATCCCGATCCGGATACCAAAAAATATGATGATCGAATCACTGGCCAATAAGAAACTGGAAATTGTAAACGCGTACGTGTGATTGGTTGATGATAGAAACACGCCCAACTTGCTAACCGATAGCACTTGCTAACCATTAGCGTTTTCCGAATACTGCTAATGGTTAGTGCTAACCGATCGGCCGTTCTCAGGCTGGTGCTAATGGTTAGCGCTAACTGTTAGCGCATGATCCGGATACTAGGGCTCTTGTGTGAACCAGTCTAAGATAATTATGGGCATACAGCATTTTTTTTTTTAAAGAAAAATTGATAGTGTGGACAGAGCTTAAGTCCCTGGTAGGCAAAGCAATAACTTACCGAGTGTGAGCACCTGATTGCCATCATAAATATCTGAGCCACCAATTCCAACTAGAGAGAACTTTAACTGCTTTCCGAGATCCACTGCATAGTTACAGTTCTCTAATGCTTTCATGGCTGAACCTTGTTTTGCAAGAGCGGCAGGGCCGTTCACTTTGTCCCAGTTCACAATTCCGGGTTTCACTTCATCATAAAGCTGCAAAAGTGCAATTGAGATATTTGTTTATATTAAAGTTAGTTGATAGATAATATCAAATGATCAAAAAGCATGTTTTACGCTCTGTCCTTAACTTTCAAACGTTATGTCAAAATACTTTCTGTGCCCATTTGGGTATGATTTGACATCATCATGCTCATCATATGTGGGCTTAAGTAGCTATGTAAAGTTGTTAAGAAGTATTATAGAGTCGAAGAGCATTACAGAGAGATGAGGCAGCTCTCAAAAAGGCTTGGTCAACGGATTTCTTATGGAAACGGATCACCAGCACCTTCATTATTGTTATCATTACTACCATCATTACTATCAGCATTAGCATCATCAATAACATCATCATTACCTTCAACACAATTTTAGTCATCATTTCAACCTCAATATCAACAATCACATCATCATAGAATAGAAATCTTTCTTTATTCTGGATACTCAGTCAGTATTGTTACACTGTTTTCCCTGAGGGCCAGGGTATTATCTTAAACTACACTTTGTTACAAAATAAAATTAAAAGAAAAATGCATAAAAATATAAAAACAGTATATATATCTGTCTCTTATACACATCTAGATGTGTATAAGAGACAGCGTGTGATTGGTTGATGATAGAAACACTTTACAAGGCTTAGAGGCATTGTAAAGGCATGAAGCGCTATATAAGAACGACATATTATTATACATATACACACACATATACACATACATATATAGATTATATAAATACAAGAAACAGAAAAGAAAAAACAAAATGGGAAATTAAATGAGATTTTTGAAGGATTGTAAGGAAAGTGAATGACTATTGCTATGAAGGTCTGATGATAGATTATTCCATAATTTAACAGAACGATATTCAAATGTTCTTTTTCCAAAATCATTTCGCCATTGTGGTAAGACTAAAGTGTTTTTCAATTTACTTCTTGTATTTATGCTATGGTAAGTATCAATTAATTTGTAAAAATTAGTTAAATATCCAGGAACAGTGCCCGATAAGCATTTAAATGTCATTAAAAGAATATTATGTTCCCATTGTTGGTTTACGTCCTTCCAGTTAAGGGATTCCATAAGGTCATTAATAGGTGTTCTAATATCAGCATGCAAAATAATTCTGGCTAGTCTATTTAGTAAAACCTGAAGTGAATTAAGGTGCGCAGCTGTGCAATTGGACCATACAGTACTACAATAATTGAAAAAAGGTAATACAAAAGAATTTACTAAAAGTCTAAGAGAAGAATTTGGTAAAAAATATCTTAATCTACAAATAACACCAATGCGTTGAGAAATTTTGGAGCAAAAATTTTCAATATGATTATCCCATGTAAAGAAAGTATCAAAGGTAATTCCTAAGTATTTAAAATTATCATACTTAATATCACTCACCATAACCCCCCTCTCCCACCCCTGCTATGTATGGAAAGCAAACCAAACAGACAACCCTAAAAGCCCACACTATAATTAGAATGATGGATTTTAATTACCTTGAATAAAACCAGTCCATTTTTAAGATCAGTGTAAAGATAGTTGACATAAGGTCGCACACCCAGACTGTTCATCCAATTACGGAAAGCTATAGCAAAAAAGTTAAAAATATTAACAGCAATAACAGTAATGATTAATAGAAAAATTATGCTTAAAAAAAATTTTGTTTCGTCTCCAACTTGAAGTCATTTTCAAGTTTAAGTGATTAAAGTGATAGTAATTGTTATTGTCGTGATGGAATAAACAATAATTGGATTTGCGTCAGGATAAACATGGTATAGGTGTAAATTTTGCTCTACCTGACGTGGAAATGTACTGAATACACAGTAGGTCCCACCCGAGAACAACTTGCGATTTTTTTTTTCGCATTTGTTTTCAAACGTACTGTGTATTCAGTACATTTCCACGTCAGGTAGGGAAAAATTACCCCTATACCATGATTAAAAATGAGATATAAAATTATAAAGCTTATAATCAATAAAGCTAAAAGGTCAAAGTTTAAGAGTAATTTTTCTATTCATGATTCATTCTAAGCATACTCTTATTCTTAGTAACAACTTTATTGTTTGTTGGAATGAATATGAATATCTGATTGAGAAATAAAGTAATTGTTCTATACATATTATTTTTCTATCCAACGAATGTTTCCAACATATCGCCTTCAGTACCAGTGGTGGCGGCAGTCCCCATGACTTCACACCAGAGATTTGATTTCAGAACCTTGACCGAGGCTGACACGGCCCCTTGCTTTCTATTTAATAAACTTATATAAACTTACTTTTTTCTTCTCTGGTTTCTTCATAAACCTCGCCTTCTTCATCTGGAGGATCCAATGCTGGGTAATTGTTGAATAAGTTAGCAACAAATGCGGTGTTCAATTTCGCGTTACCTTTTACAACATCCTGTAAAATGCAATATCGCAAGTTATCATAGCTGAAAATAACTAATATTGGTTATTATGAATGTATCAAGTGAAATATTATTTTGCACATTTCCTGCATGTCATGGATCAAAGCATTTTATATGGCAGATGTACAACCTCCCAAACCCTATGGCAGTAAATTAGTTACACTAAGTGGGCTGAAATACTAAAATTCACCATAAGTTTTCATTGAAATAAGGTTTTTGTTGCGCATTCTTCACCATTTTCAAACCCTCCAGGCTGAAACCAGCTTTCGCACCTGTCTAGGTATCGAAGTATGCTACTTGTAAACGATATACATGGTACAACTTCCTTGTCCTGGATCACCAGCATTGCTTGTGAAATTGAATTTGGAATCTTAGTTAGTTAATCAACCATATATCTTTACAAAATTATGATTATTATTATTTATTTATTCTTTCTTTATACTGTAGGCACTTTCAGTACTATTACACTGATTTTCAAAGTGGTACAGTTTAAACATAACAAAAATATATACAATATAAATATATAAATATACACAAAAAATAAACCAAGCAAGAGAAGAGTCAATGAAATACATTTATGTAGTAATACTGTTTTGAAATGAATGTAACAACATATATTGAAAGTTAACGTTTTAATTCATTAGGAAGTTCATTCCACATTATTCCAAGTTGGGATGACTAGATTGTTATTTGTTTGGCTCTGTGTTCATTTAGTATTGGTACTATTGTTGAAAATAAAATTTGATGTCAGATACTGAGAAGCGTAACCTTTTAAATATTTGAAATCATAAGTAATTTTTCATCCTAACTAGCATTGAGTACAGTACTTATATATATTACATAACAGAAGTCTTAATATCTGCTGAACAACTCTTATTTTGACTATTGGATCATAAAAATTGGATCATCAGATATCTAAAAATAATTGTTTTGTTGGTTTGGTTACCTTAGGTGTGATGAAAGCTCTGCATTTCATCTTGTCAGCATTTTGAAGCATCTTTTCAGCTCTTTGTTCATAATTCTGAAACACACACAAGAAATGGTTTTATAAAAAACTTGAGTTATCTTTTTGAAATTATCATATCATATTGTATCAATTATTTCTCCTTCGTAAAAACAAAAAAACAAAAAAACAAAAAACATAATTCAATGAGGTAGGATTATAAAAGTATCATAAAAAGAATAACAAAAGAAATGAAAGAAATATATCAGAATGTCTTCGTCTTTATAATTTTCTATTTTATTGTTTTATCTAAAGTTAGTTAGTAGATCCTACTACTTTTCATCAGTCCCTCCTTTGGAACGACCAACAAGGGAAAAAATGTTTTGGTATGGTGGTAGCATTGATGAGGGAGGTGACTTACTGGTCCCATTGGTACTGGATCCAAATTCAAATCCTTTGGAGCTATCTGTCTCAAAAGTGTTGTATAAACCTCTGAATCCATAATGTCACCACTGAAGTTTTTAATACGTCTTGGGTCCCCTACAATGACAACATCAAACATTTGGATGAAATGCAATTGCAATACTCAATATATGATTTTAGAGACTTACATCTAGAAGAGAGGTTAATTTTAAGCATGAAATGAATGATTGACAGTTGCAATAAGTGATTAATCTGCTACTGGCCATTTTTGACCCCACTACATCAATCAATCAATCTTTCTTTCTGTCACCTAGACAGAAAATGTATTCATGTAATAATAGGTCTCTGGCCCTTTTAGATGTAGAGCCTGGTGGATAAGATAGAGTAACCCACTAAGGCCTAAAACTTATTTTTTAGTGTGGTCCTTCTGGTGGTGAACTGGGGAGTACATAATCCCCTACCATTTTCTGAAGAGTGTACTGCGTTCTTTAATGTGTACATGGGCCATAATGTACACAGGACCAACAGCTGAAATGTCTCGGTGCACTATACCCTCCAGCTGAAACACAAGGAGAGGCAGCGATGGGAATTAAACCGAGGACCAAGAGACCTCCACGTTTCAGTGCACACACAGTGGCTACCACCAGTTTAGCCGACTGAGCTAAGCTACTCAGGGAAAAGAAATTATGTCTAAAATTAAACAAGTTGAGCTAGAGCATTAGTTAAATAAGTGTTTACAAATTTAGTGCAATTTAATCAATAAATAGTCTCTAATCTTAAAAGACAATAAAATATTATTTATTTATTCACATTATTTACAATTGTAATCAGAGGGTAGAAAGTAGTACCTGCTTGCTCTAATTGATAGTTGACCCATCGGATAAGGAGTTGCTCTGGTGACAATGTCTTAAGTATTGATGGATCCTCTCCCTCCTGTAACAGTCTTATGAGTCCAGGAATCTCCTTTAAATCTATCTTAGCAAATAATCCAATCTATAAAAAGAACATAAAAAAACACCACTTAAAGACCATGACTCCACAGATAAAATTTACAGTGTGGTATATGCCCCTGAAGACCCACTTGGAATCCCCACTTGGAATCAACATATAGACCCCTTAAATATCATATAGCCCCACTGTCTATGTTAACTATTTGCACAGAGCAAGACAATTAAGTGGTAAACGCCCTCTATTGACAATTGTACCATCACTACAAGATCACTATTATTACCAGAAGCAGGATTGCCCTCACCATTACCACAGACGTGTTGACTGGTGTAATGATGCAACCATCACCACAAGATCACCTACAGTACTTATAATTGCCACCACCAACAAAACCACTATCACAAAGTTGCCTTACCCTGCCACCACCAACAAAACCACTATCACATAGTTGCCTTACCCTGCCACCACCAACAAAATCACTATCACAAAGATGCCTTACCCTGCCACCACCAACAAAACCACTATCACAAAGATGCCTTACCCTGCCACCACCAACAAAACCACTATCACAAAGATGCCTTACCCTGCCACCACCAACAAAACCACTATCATAAAGTTGCCTTACCCTGATGATCTGCCAGAGCAGACCCAACACCAAGTGTCCGGTTCCTTTGATCAAATCTTCAGCACCAATATTCACAATAGAAATTCCAAGAGATAAAGCAGAGTTCAAAGCAAGCGTCTGGTTTTCATGCTTTTTAAATACAGTTAACTTTTTGGTATTCATAGCTCGTTCATCCACAGTTCCCGGAGAGGAATTATTTATCATTTTACTAATAAAAAGAAAGCATAAATAAATTGTTGATTAACTTAAAATACAATAAAAATAAACCTTCAATGACCATTTTGTTATTAAATATAGAACATCTGTTATGACTATGGGAAGTACATAATTAGAGCCAGCTAGTATCAACGAGAAAAACAACGACAAAGTTAAAGAATATGGCATGATTTTTTACACTCAAAAACAAGTGAAAGAATTATTAAAATAATCATTGCATTTGTTACCCAACAACCCAGAAGAAACTGTGCAAGTTCAGTAATTTAATCAATTTTATTAATCTTTTTAAACAAAATAAACAAGTAGCATGGAGGCTGAAACCCTTGAAAGTATTGGTGTATTTTAAATACAAGAATTACAGTCCTATTCAACCCATTAATATTCTTCCTATTTTATTATTACTGTACTATCTCAATTATTGAGGTGAAGGATTACCAGAAGAGGATGCCATCTTGGACTTTGGAAAACAGGTCATCGTCCTTCTCATTGATTGGCAGGTAGGACTCTAACATCTCATCATTTTTCAACTGGCTATTAATGTAATCTAAAAGAAAGAAAAAAAAACTAAATCAGGTAATAGTGTCTTTAAAAGATAATCAAGACGAAGACAAAAAATGTTTACCAGCAGCTTATAAATAAGTATGATAATATACAAAGTAACAAATATCTTAGTCAATGGGTCAGAAAGTCAATAAATGAAAAGATTATAAGCAAAACTAAACAAAGTTAATCACCACTACACACACACACACCCACACACCCACACACACACACACACACCCACACACACATACATATACTGTATATATATATGCATACTCATTCCTTATTTACTCCATTTATTTATTTATTTATTTTTACAAAATTTTATGAGAAAAATACAATATAAAATGCCCTACATGGATAACCAAGCAAAAAACTAGCGAGGGTTCTCCAAGATATCCTAAAACTTAAAAACTGCAACATTACATTAAATTAAATAGGTTTTAGAAGATGAATAAAAAAAAAATTGTTAAAAAATAATATACGACATTATGAGGATAACAACATTCAAACGGGATTTTCAAGGAGTTAGATCATGAATGTAATGAAGGAAGTAAGCAGTAACAAAAAAACCCACCAAAATGGGGAGTGCCTGGTTTAATGATTACCTTAATGTAATTTTTTATTGGTTATTAGTATTCCCATTTCCCTCTCTCCTTTGTTCCTGTGAGGATTGGAAACTCAGTTTACATTCCCTGGCTGTAGAACTAATTCCAAAGTGATGGTCTAAATCACATGAATCCATTGATGCATGCTCCAAATCCAAATAACCATGGAAATCATTGGTGTAAAAGATTAAGTTCTTGAACCACTAAAGTGTTTCCAGACTGGTATACCCCACAAGAACTCATTTCATATCATTTACATTCATCTTTTTAAAAAATGGAATTTCACTTCAATCAAATTAAAGCAGAGACAATTGGACTTTTGCTATGTATGCATATTCTTCTGTTCTGACTTTTATTTATGTATTTTTTTTTTGGTATTTGTATTTTGTTTTGAACCATATTTGAAGCAAATTTTGCTACAGACCGCAATTGGGACTCACACACCTTCTTCTGGGAAAACATTTGGACCTATTTGGAATTTTCACAATTGTACAACTAATTATTGCTGTACCAGTAGGCCTAGACTTCAATCATTATTTTTGTAATATGATCATAAAATCCTAGCAACAATTCTGTTTCATTGCTACCTTTCTACTACCGAATATCATCATCATCAGGTGACTTTGACTTGTGGGAAAGGGAGATGGCAATGGCGTATCTAAGGGTGCATGCACCCCACCCCCAACAAAATATTGTACCCCCTTCATAGTTGTTGTACCCTCCCCTTACCCACTGGAGATTTTGAAGCAAAATAATTATGCTAAATTACATAAAAATCACCATATACCACTCTATTTTGCCAGCTAGCATCCCCTCACTTTATCGAGTCCTCCCACTTCACCTTCCAGCCCCCTCATCAGCACCACCCAATTTCAATATCTGGCAAATGGGAAATGACTGGCAATATGCAAATTAAGGACATGGTAGCAGTAGCCTATTATTTTTAGGAGACCTTGAGGAAAGAACCATAAATACTCTATAAGATAGTGAATACAAATTTACTATCATGACCCATAAAACCACTACAGCAGTGTTTGCGATGATTGAAAACTATTTCAAAATTCTTTCATCAACACTGAGTCAAATAATTAAAATGCAGGTATGTTCTCTATATAGTTTTATATAGCAAACCTTTGAAGGTTGATAGAAAGGAGACAACAATGGATTAATAATATTACCACTCCTATGATGTCATACACTAGAAGGAAGTTGTAGAACAAAAGGCAACAAAGGAAATAATCATACTGCACTCTAAAATTGGCATTTGAAGAAGTATAAAAATGAATGCTAAGAAGAATTCATTATAGAACATAACAACATGGTGGTATCAGAATTAATTAAATTATGGAGTGGATGGGATGGATTTTCACCACATTTAAGGACAAATAAGGTGACAATCTCTTGATTACTGGGATTATCTTGAGCTTTTAATTCCCTGTGTTGAACTATTCATCCACTGGTTGGACAGACCTTTTTAATCCCCTGTTGGAAAGCCCTTTCATTATCATTCAAAGTATATACACATCCAGGATATTTGTTCAGTGTGAGGATATCCTTGATAGTGGATTAGAGGCCTTCCTCTCTTGCCATATATGTACATACAATATTCCTTGGTTTATCTCAAGCACATTGTAATATTACTACAGTAAGAATTGTGTACATTTGTTTCACTCAAATTTTACAAACATTCCAAATCAGGTCAATGAAAGTCAAGTAATCATCACTGGTATTTAAATGATTATCGTTATTGATTTCGGGTTTCCTGAGTAGGTATGATTCAACTTGAAGCATAACAATCACTGATGTGTATATAAATGGTAGCACTGTGCATTATCTGTTTTCAACCAGGAATGTAAATTTCTACTGTTATAATTTATTTATATAAGAGCATAAATTTGAAATAATAAATAAATTAAAATATTTAAATATATATAAAACACTCTACTTCTTATGTATGACAATCAGCACATTTAAATCTTTTTAGCTATCTTAATTTTCAGTAACACTATATCTATATCCTGTTTATAGTTATTATACACATTTCAGAGTGGAAAAAGATAAATACTGTATGAAATATGTATTTAGACACATTTTCAGGAATTGTGTCTAGATTTCATTATTCTGAATAAAACACATTTGTGTACAGAAACAGCAAAATTTTGTACTTCAAATATATTGGTAAAAATAATACATTATGTTAAAATTAAAGGGAAAATTTGTATGGTGATTAAACTTTACTTTAAATAGGTCACTACATGATAAAAATAATATGTTACTGGCCATTTTAAAACCAAGAGTCAGCTTCTGAAACTAAAAGTGAAAATCATTTCAAAAAATAATATGCAAATGTAATTTATGCAAATGATAAAAAGTAGACTTTCTACTCATCAGATGAATCAGCATCTTAATCTTGCTGCATAATTATAAATCACATTTGATAAAGATTAAAAATTTCCTGGTAGATGCTCAATGACCCAAATATCTGTGATTTCAATGCTATTTCTCAAGATTCCTAAGTTCACAATTTCCTTTTTAGGCTAAAATAACCCCAAAAAAAAAAAACAATAGTGACTCAACATGCAACTTAATAAACAATTTCTTTTTGAGTAAAATATTTGGTCATTCAATTCACACAAATGCAAAATAAGCTTTAGGAAACCTACAGCCTATGCTTCAATTGCTTGTTTACCTTTTAAGGTGATTTGAACATGTTATGTATTTCTAGTTTTTCTTTTGTGATACCCTTCACTAGCTGACTTCAAGGAAACAATAATACAGAAGTAAAAACCTGCAAATATGAATTTGCGGGTTAAGTTTCCGTGAGATTTTTGCTTGCTTGTGTGCGGCGGTCCTAATAATCAAGAAACCCCCCACTCCCCAAACTTGGGGGAGCTGACTTTGGACCATTAAAAGGTTCAAAGACTCAATAGGACTTTTTAAAATTCAGTACAAAAGATGAAATGGCTTCTCTACTAATAATAGATATGTTATTGTAATTATGCATAATTGCAGCAAAAAATTACTGACGGCATGTTTATTAACAGTAGTTACTTATTACTTTTGCTAGATTGTCTGGAAAAACATATGGTTGCATCGGAAAAAGGTCAACGTATTTACAATCACTAAAACTTCATTTATTTTAATACAATTAAATAAACAGTCAAGAGTACAAACCTACATAAATCTTTTAAATGGAATCTTAAACAAGTCCTAAGGAATTAATTTTAGTTTCATAATACTTTAAATAATTTAGAGCTCCATTTAGAATACAGAGTATCATAAACATTTTATAAAGCTATTAAATAGTTTATAATTCTTTAAACATAAAATGAAAGACAAAAAGGATCATAAAACAATAAAAAATTATTGTACAGTAAATCAAAACTCTCTTTATTACTCTTGCTTTTACTGTATGGTTGTTCTGTTTAATAGTCTCGCTCCACCTGTAAGAACTTTTTTTTATGCTACTGTGCTTGTTTGTTCATTAGTATCGAGCATACTGTACTGTATGCTAACTTGTCATCATTATTAGTTTTGCTAAAAATAAACTTGCTGGTGACAGATTCTCAATTACAGAACTAAAATATGGATTAAATTTCCACTTATTAGAAAATCCTTGCAAATCCAAAACCAGCAAGCTTCATGGAACTTAATATTATAAATGTGAAATTCAATAACAATTCACCTATGTGATGGATGCTAAGAAAATTTTCTCTTCAATATCCAAACGAGATAGGACAAAGCTAATTTTATGTTATTCAGTATTCATACTGTGTAACACAAATTAGTCAGTTACTTAATTACATAATTAAAAAGTAATTAGGAGCCTCAGTTTGAGTAATTATGTATGCAACATACAAAAACAACACACAAGAATCCTTCATCTTGGAAGCAGTAGGCACAGTGGTTGACTGAAGTTCTCAATGTCATAGTCTAAGTTCAACTCCTTGGAGTGACTTTTGCTCTGTGTTTTGGCAAAGCGCATTACCTTTAGTTGTCTCTCACCACCCAGAAGCATAGTATATGGTAGGGTCAAACAACAATGAGCTATTTTTACTTGAAACGTTGTTAGAAAAAAATTATCCTCAATCCTATCCTCCACCATCATTACACTGTGTTACACAAACACAATGAGAAACATCTGCTGTACATGATTCCATACTAAATATTAGCATCTCGTGAATGAGATCACATGATTGCCGAGTTAATGATGTACTGTCATCAAGTATAAGGTGTGAATTGCTCACGAGATCATCAGCCAAACGCGACAATCTGCTCATCGACACAGATTGCTATCAAGCAGCTCATATTATTAACGCTAGATTGATGGACAACGTACCAGGCTTATTTTCAACTGAATGACCAACAATATTGGAAAGATAAATCCAAAACTAGAATGCATAATACAGTTGATAACTTACAATCCAAAACAATGAAGAATGGAAATAATAAATCAATGGGTGTGGTATACTAAGATACTCAATATAAATCTAAATTGAAATGCTCAAGAACTTAACACAAGACTCCTCTTTAGAAAGATAAATGACAAAAAAATAAATTCACAGAAGTGTATATTTGAGCGAATATATGTACAATATTCTGTGAAATGTTTTCTTTTCATAAAGGAAGATTGTCAAGATGCACTTACCAACAAACGCAACTTTTTCTTCTTCGGAAAAAGAATGAGTTATTCCCTCCACATCAGACGTACCACCTTTGGACACGATTCCACTTTTCTTAGAAATGGCGACCTTAAACTTGGAAGATACTTGGTCATCCTTGAGCGTTTTATAAATCTGTTGTGACGGCATAGTGAGAATAAAAAAAATGCTATTAGTCCTTCACAAAAACCTACTAGATATTGTTCTACAATTTATAAATTCACTTTCAAAACCAAGCAATTGAATGTGAAAAGCTGAGATGCCTGGTATATACATGTACCTATCAATGATCAAAATTTGTGACGGACACTCCTTTTATACCAAATAGGTACCAGGTGTCCTAAACAATAAATTGGCAAATTCTTTGGTATGCTTGCGGCCCTAATCAAATTTCTAAGACTGAAGGGATAATTTGGACTCAATTTACAAACCTAAAAATATTTCCATTGATTCACTTCTTTATTTTTGAAGATAAATTTTTTTGCAAGAAAGGTGGGAATTTGAGTCGGGATGCCGTGCAAACCGTTAAGAGAAATTAGACATCCTGGCTAGCAGCCCAGTGTGTCCAGCGGTGTCGAGGGATATGTGTTAGCGGCAGTGGATGTACTGCAAACGTTATTTTTATACCCCATACTATTACCTTAAGCATTATATTTCTGTGCTTATTAGGTCAAGTAAACTGAAAATCGACAGGAAGGTGATAAGTTTGTATAAACAGCTACTACCTGTGAATTCACAAGGTTTCCATAGAAACAACTACACAGGTACCGTACTGTAAATGTCACAGACAATAGTGTTTGTGATAATGGTAATCAACAAAGGACTATCTATAAATTTGCATTTATAAATAGCAATTAACCGAGAAATATATTAATTTGAGTAAAGTGGATTTCGGCCTTATATGATTGCAGTTACTCCAGGATGCATAGTTTTTGGGCAAAGCAGTCTGATCTTATGATTTCAAAGATCACACCCTATGATGCTTCAGTATTTACGCAATTCTAAACTCTTTTTACGATGATGGCATCTTCCTTTCGGCTTCTACGAAATGATGGTGAATATTCAGTAGATTAAAATGACAACATGGTTTCAACTGTACCTCCAGAAACTCATTAAATTCAATTGTCCCATTTTCATCCTTGTCTAGTTTGGTTATCATTTCTCGTACTTGGTACCCTGCCAAATCAAACCCAGCTTCCTTCAAAGCTTCACCAAGTTCCTCAACTGAGATGTGGTTGTTGTGATCAATATCGAACTAAAAGAAAATACAATGATAACATTCAATTTAAAAATCCCAGTGTCTGTATTTTTTCGAAGGCGTTTGCACAATAAATATATAAAAAATGTCAAAATAATACACCAGGCCCAGGGGCAGATTTAGGGGATGGGGCACCTGTGATGCACCTCCCTCCCCCTTATATCACAAAAAAAAGAAAAAAAAAATTACACCCACAGTGTTTAAGTCTTCTTTTCCTACCAAAAACATGTTTTCAAAGATTATGTTCGAGATGTTCGTTGAAGAGGCACTAAAACCCACAGCTGTGAGTAGATGAATTATTACAAATTATTATTAAATAATAAATAAATTATTATTATTATTATTAATACATTTCATAGTTGCATATTGCAGGTACCATGTATATTAAAATTTCTTTTAAAAGACATACACCTATTTTTTTTTTTATTTATTTGTTACTGAAAACTACCATGCTAGATAGTCAAAATCGACTCAATACAACCTCATATTCCTCAAATGTGCTGGGCTT